CCCGCAAGGACAATGACTGATTGTAAGAGGAAAGGCAGAGAAAAAAACAAGGTCAAGATCAGGGTATTCCTACTTCAGTGTTTACTAGGTCAGAGCAGGATCAAGTCAAAAGCCAGCAGCTGGGATGAACAGCTTGGGGAGTTGAGCCCAGGGGCGGAAGTAACCAGCAAAATTTCCGCTTGTGGGCGGGCTTAAGCAGGAGGAAGTGAATGCGGCAGGTCTGGGGCTTGGCGAGCAGGATGGCGCCGCAGCTTGGCCCGCATGAACTGCTGCACGTCTTCTCCTTCCTGGACGCCCGGGACCTGCTGAGCGCTGCGCAAGTGAACAAGGTGAAGTCCTGGGCGGGGTCGCCTCTCCACAGTGCTCCGCCGGCCGGGCGGTGGAGGGGCATCTCCTCCAGGGATTGGCTTGGCCGGTGACCTCAGGTGGCACCGCCCTACCCTTACCGCTGCCTTCTTGACCAGGCTCCTGCCGTGGTGGTCATCTGCTGGGTGTTCTCTATGCCCCTCAGTCTCCTTTCTCTATGTCCCTTAGTGTCCTTCCTCTCAAAGACTCAATGCAAAGACAACTTAATCACTGTTACTGTAAGGTCCTTGTTTTTCCCTGCCAGATTCAACTACTGAACTCTAACGAAAAAGACACTAAAATCCTCCCTCTTTAATGTCTATCCCAAGTAGCAGTGCAAGCCTTGGATTTTAGTGTCTCTTCATTAAGTATTCAAAAGTGTTCAAAAGGTTAGACACTTCGTTGCTTGAACAGAGCACTTAGATTTGCAGTGTCAAACTTGTTCAGTTTTAAAACTTTTACTCACAGAAAGAGACCAGTACTATTCATTCCAATATTCTCAACTTTGCCAAATCATCACACTGCATGTATGCCCCTCGCTCTTTTGTTAGGGACCAAGAATCGCCAAAGAATGATACCCCAGACTCAGATAGTTTGCAAAAGCAAAGAGTGTTTATTGAGCTGAATTTCCTGCGTTCAGGGGGTCTCCCCATTTGGGAATGGAGACCCCTGGTGGACTCCCAAGCTCAGCTTTTATTGTCAGGGGAATTCAGGAAGGTATATGGTGTATGTGCCTCTATCTCTATTACTAGGGGCCTGACTGACTGATTCTACGATTCCTTAGCCTGTGTGGAGACTTCCCAGGGGGCTGCTTACTCATTCTAGCTACCTATTCTTACTTCAGGCCAGATGACAAGGTGTCCTCAGATTGGCTGTCCACTGTTGTGTTTGGCTGACCATAAGTTCTTGGATCTGGGAAACAGAAACTTAGGCCTAGTCTCCCAAACTGCCAGTTTGCAACCTGTTAGGGAGTTAGCCCAGCTAACTCAGTCCTTTCACTTCAGACTTCATCAGAGGACCCAGAGTTGACATCTGGCAGTGAAGCTGAAGGTTCTAGGCTAAGACTACGTGTGTAGAGAAGGCATCATCTAGTTTTGTTCTCTTCTTTTGTAGTTCTGGGGGATGCACCTAGGGTCTTGAGTTAGCCATACACTCTTACCAGCTGAGGGACCTTCCTGTCTACCTTTGTGGGTTGTTAATGCTGCAGTAGTTTGACCTGTAGCCCTAGCCACTTCTTGCTCTGCTGTAATACTACTTGGGGGCCTGCACTTTTTTTTTCCTGCATTAGTTGCCAAAATTTTGTGAGTTGGAGCACTTACCTCACATCGTAACAGTCTGTCATTCTACACCTTGTCCCTGACATACCATGGAGAGACAATGGAGGCCACGACTGAACAGTCTGCCTACAGCAACAACATTTAACATCTTGGTTTATGGATTGCGATGGCTAAAGTTATATTTTACATTTTAATTACTGTGGGTAGGAGATCTATAGATCAAAAATGCCTCTCTCTTGCAACTCCACATGCCCAAGGACAGATGATTTTCTGGAATGCTGGGGGCTGTTGTTCAATTAAGATAACAAGCCACATATGTTCACTTCTGTATTTGTTGCTTCTGCCACACGGGATGTGGTTCATCACACACAGGTGGGAAGGACATGGGCAGGAGGTAAGTCAGGGATGTATGCTTGCCCTCATTGGATGAAGGCAGCAAGTATGTAGCTCATGTGTTTTGCATTCATAAGCCCTGGTCTAATGTAATCCAGTGCCATACTCTGGGAATACCAGGTATGGACCTGGTCAGTGTTCATCATCCTGGCCAGTGTGCATGTCTTGGCCAGTATTCGATAAAGCTTGTTTCAACATTGGCTCAAAAATTGTAGTAGTGGTGGCCTTATTCTTGCCTGGTGGGCTTAACACAATCACACAGTGAACAGGTAAATGATCTCTACCTCTGACCCTATTCCAAATGCTCAAGTAGCTTATCAGTATTTTTACATGGAGGCTTTCCCGTTTCTTTCCCAACCAGAACCTCCTGCTCTGACTGAGGCAGATGACTCAACTCTCTTCTCATGTTTTTGAGTCATTTGGATGTGTGTTATGTCTCCCTACATTGCTTTAGAACAGCCATCCAATCTTTGTGTCTCTGAGCTCCTAGACCCTGACTCGTCAACCCCACTGAACCTTTTATTCATCATTTGCTGGCGGTTTGGTTTCCCTTTTATTTATTCTCTCCTGTATTGTATTACAACTGCAGTTTCTCCTCCCTCTTCTCCTCCAGTCCCTCTCCCCACCTCCTTTCTCTTATATATCCACTCCTCCCCAGTTTCCGTTCAGAAAAGAGCAGGCCTCCCAGGGATAACAACTAAATATGGCTAACAAGTAAGACCAATCTTGGCAAGGAGACTCGGTAAGAGGAAACGGATCCCAGTAGCAGGCAAAAGGTCAGACACTGCCTCTACTCCACTGTTAGGAGTCCCACAGGATCACCGAGATTCCCATAACATATGCATAGAACCTGGGCCAAACACACATAGGCTCCCTGATTGTCAGTCTGTCTCTGTGAGCCTGTATGAGCCCCGCTTAGTTGGCTCTGTTAGCCAGTTCCTGTGGTGTCCTTGACTCCTTGGGCTCATCCAATCCTTCTTCCCCGTCTTCTGAAGGATTCCCTGTGCTCCACTTAATGTTTGGCTGTGGGTCTCTGCATCTTCTCATATCAGTTGCTGTTTGAAGCCTCTCTGATGACAGTTATGCTAGGCTCGGGTCTTTTCTTCTGACTGGCCCGTTTGGTGGTTTTTAATTGTGTGTTGTTTTGAATGCTCCAGGTTCAGCAGTGTTGAATGTTAGTATGGTTTTGTTCTTTGTTCCCTCCATGGGATTTGGCAGGCCAGGGTGCTAAATGGTTATTGACTGATGAACAGCCATCATTATCCTGTCTTTCCCCTCCTTATTCTAGGTCTGGAATGAGGTTTCAATGACCAAGGAACTGTGGAGGTGAGTGAAGAAGAGCCAAGGGTGTCCTTCAAAGGAGAGGCGCTCACCAGAAGTGGCTCCCAGGTGCTCTCAGCACTTATGCTCAAGTGAGGTCCAAGAAAGGATTATATCCCTGGTCCTTACCATGAGCAAACTCCTCTGTGGTTAATAATATAAGACTTCGTATCAATAGGTTTGCCAGACTCAACCTGCTGGATTCATTTCCTGTGGTTTCTGTCAGTGTAATCAAATTACTTTTTTTAAAAAAATAAAGTCGTGCTTGCTTTGGCAACAAATATACTAAAATTGGAACGATACAGAAAATATTAGTATGGTCCCTGTGCAAAGGTAACACACAAATTCGTGAAGCATTCCATATTTAAAATAAATAAATAAATAAATACATAAATAATCAAGTCAAGTCAAAAGCATCGGTTTTTATGGTCTTATACTTACTTTGTAGCCCAGGCTAGTCTTGAACTTATGATCTTCCTGCCTAACCCTCCCAGTGCTGGAATTGCAAGCAAATGCCACAGGGCCCAGCTTAGATTACTTTTAAGCTACATGGCAGCATAAAAATGTAAGGTTGTTTAAAATGAAAAAAAAAATCACAGTTGAAAATAGGAATAGCTAAAGCATTGAATTTTCTAAGCCCCTCTATTTTATGTCTTCTTTGGAGCTTGTTATCCTTTTATTTCTACTAAGATAAAGCTGGGAGGAGCGGCAGCTGAGACCCCTCTGGCTGAACGTCAGGTGGGCAGCCAGCCTTGAGGGTCAGGTAGGAGTTGTATTTTAGTTATCCTTAATGGAAAGCAACTGTTCAAACATGAAGCTTCTTCAAAAGCTGGAGGGGGCCTCGCTTTTATTTGGGGTAACTATGACACCCCAGAATTCTCATTATTTCAGGGCTATCTTAGCATATTCAGTTTTCAGCATCATAGAACTGTTGGTTTTCATTAGCTTTTATAAGCAATATTGATTAGAAAAATAATCTCAAGTTTGAAGCAAACTTTCGTTGAAATCCATTCTTTCATCTCTTTGAAGAACTTTTAGGGAACTGCAGGTAATTTAGGTAAAGGTAGGTCTTGCCAAGTATATGGCTCAATGAAATCGTCTGACTGTATGAACTGCCTGGTGCAGCCACTGCTGTAGGCCTTGGAGTGTGCATATTTATAAGCCAGGGTAGAGCTTTCCTGAAGAGAAATAGTGTTCTTGAGAAGTTAACAGAAAATTCCTTTCTCATCATCTAACTTCCTTATAATATCTTGATCCTTATAACTGCATTTTTCTCTGGTTTCTTCTCTTTTTTAATGTAACATCATGATTTTTCAATGTTGATAGTTGTCAATCCTATGCAGGCCAAACAGAATCATTTGGCAGTCTGTTTTGTCCGGAGCTGGTCAGCATACTATTCCCAGTAGGCCAGAGATTCAAAGACCACATTTGCCTAGACATGTGAGCACTGAAGTCCTATATGCCACACATGAGAGAGCTTACACACTTAGTCTGACTCACGAGTGTTTAGTGGGTATGTTAGTTAGAGTGTCTGTAGCTGTGATGAAACACCATGACCAGAAAGCAAGATCATCATTAGCGGAAACCAGGACAGGGACTCAAGCAGGGCAGAATCCTGCTGATTCTGATCAGCAGGAGCTGATGCAGAGGCCATGGGGGGAGGGGGTGCTGCTTACTAACTTGCTTCCTATGGCTTGCTTGGCCTGTCTTCTTATAGAACCCAGGACCACCAGCCATGGATGGCACCACTCACCATGGGCTGGGCTCTCCCCTATTGATCACTAATTGAGAAAATATCTTATAACTGGATCTCATGGAGGCATTTCCTCAAGAGAGGCTCCTTCCTCTATGATGACCCTAGCTTGTGTCAAGTTGATACACAAGACCAGCCAGTACAATAGATGTGTATGTTAGGATAAAGGACAATTTGTCGTGGTGGTGTTCACACTGTGGAACTGAACAGGCTCTTTCCCATCTGGCCACATTTTCATCTTCCTGAAATGACCAGTGATAGGTAGCAGTAGTGTATTCAGTTAGCTCCAGCTCTGAAAGCTGCTTTCCTCTCCAGCCAGACTTCCACTGCTCTTGCACTCGGCTCCCATAGCACCGTTAGCTGCTCCTCTCTTGAACTCCAGACAGTAGCTTGAATCCACATGAAGAAACACGTACCAGGAAAGGTAAAGGAAACTATGTAAAAACAGTGTCAAGGTAGTAGGAATGCTTTTTGTAACCGTTTCTCCTGCTGTATAAAAGCAGGAAGTATGAACACCCGTCTCCTGCTCTTTTCTCTCCATCTGGAGTCTAAGCCAACATACCACACATGTTAACCTTAGGATTCTTACACATGCTTTTCCTTTTGTAAGACAAGATCTTTCCTCACAGCCCAGGCTGACTCAGGCTCCCAGGCTCTACGATGGCAAGTGTGCACCTTTACACCAGCAGAGTCTCTTAATGGGCCTGGGACATAAGACTGTGATTTATCAGACATACTAAAGGAGGTAGGACAAAACCACACATGTATGAGCAAATGTTTTACTTACTACTGAAAACTGTGTACTATTCAAAAATATACCTCCATATGTCAGAATAAGCCAACCACTAAAAAGTAACTAATAATATGAGAAAATGACCAAGAAATTGAAACACTACATTAGACCGTACTTAACACAGAAGATGACAGTAATGAAATATGTGGGAGCTTAACTAAGAGAGCATTAAAATAATGAAAAATATGATTATACAACCTAACGAAAAGGTGAAGAGCCACAGAACTGGCAAAGAAAAATGATCCAGCTTAAAGCCGTCTGCATGCGCTACACTTAGTTTTCTTTGTTTTTTGTTGTAAGATCTGGAGATGAAATGCAGCGTGCATGCTTGACAAGCATTCCTCCCTAAGTTGGACTTTGGATTAAAAGACATAATATGCTGAACGCAAGATTTTAGAAGAAGATATACTCATGCAAACATTATTTTAAAAAGCTAAGTGATATCACAGATTAGACTTTGGGATCGGGGTGTAAAGAAGTGTCATATAGTGATAAACAGGTGAGCCTAAGGAAAGGAGACTACCCCTGGCAATAGCGAAGAGACAGAGCTGAAAGGACAGGCGAGCCGTTTGACTTGAATGCCAGTCCTTTAGTGTCTGTGTCCCCAAGAGTGGGATGGTGGTGAGCACCTCCTACATAGGGCTGCCACGAAAGGCAGCTTGTCATATAAAAGACACACGTGGTTCACATGCCACCACACATTTTCTGTCAGCACTGCCCCTGTTTGACAGGAGGAAGTTGAGGCCTAGTTAGGAGCAGTGGGTTATCCGGGGTTTCAAAGCCAGAAAGAGGTGAGGCCAGAATTCAAAGCTAGATCTGGTGTTAGAATTCCTGACTTGTGTCCTGTCTAAGCTTGCGTGTCTGTGTTTCAGGCAGCTGTGCCTGAGGCGATGGCCTTTCTGCAAGGCCTTCCCAGTGGTCGTGGGCACGCTGTCATGGAGGCAGTACTATTTCTGCCGGTCTGAGCTAGAGTTCCGTGTGGAATCTGGGCGGCCACAGGACTTCATCTGCAAAGCTATTTCCGGGCACACAGGTGAGCTAGAGAGTATAGGAGGTCTGTCCTCTCCCACTGCCCCCTCCCCTTCCTTATCAAGTGTCACAGTATGTGGCATCTCAGCTAATGCCAGTTGATGAATGCAGGTCTCCTAGATGCTATGTCATTTGTGTCACGTCATGGGAGGAAAGAATAAGTTATTTCTTTTTCAGTAGGCTGAGAAATTAAGACAAGACAAGCCTGGGTAGTTATGACTAGGTTCTGCTCTCGGGCATGCTCACCCACCAGCTGAGTGGTTATAAGCTCCTCCCTGTCTCTTCATGTCCCCACTGAGTAAGCACTCATTGTGTTCCTGAAACTGGAGAAGAGGAACACTTGTGTGTCAGATCTGAGTCCGTCTATGCCTGTGCTCTCTTCCAGGAATGATAGATGAGCTGGCCTATGTCTCAGCCCATGAGTACCGCTTTGATGAAAGGGCAAGGTCTGTGGTTTGCACTGTGTCTTCAGACTGTACCGTGCGTGCCTGGGATCTGCAGGAGGTGAAGTATCCTTGGGGGAGGGAAATTTGGTTTGATTCTCTTAATGCAGGGCAGGTGGGATCTGCAAGAGGTGAACTGCCCACTGAGCAGGAAAGGACCCCTAACCGTGCCCTTGGTTTGATTCTCTTAATGCAGGCAGGTGCCCCATTTTGCAGATGAGAAATCTGAGCTGTGCCTCAGCTGTAACCAGTAGGACATACTGAAAACAAGCATAGCATGGGGACTTTTGAAACTTGAGTGTAGCCTATTTTGTGTGACACATGCTTGGCTTTCCTCTGGGGACCTGACTTTGTTGATGGTGGTGGGGGCTCTTGTGGCCAGTGCCTGCGATGACAGCTGCTTTGCCATGCCTCACATTCACAGCAAGCCAGGTAGTCAGGATCCTCCATGCTGGAACTCATTGTAGACAAGAGATTTTCCAAGAACACAACTTATGATCAACCGTGTGTGTGTGTGTGTGTGTCTGTGTCTGTGTGTCTGTGTGTCTGTGTGTGTGTATGCGTGTGTGTGTTACTGCCATTTCTCCCTTAAGGAGTCAGTTGTTGAAGCTGGTGCTGTGTCACACTGAGACTTGCTTCCCATTAGCACGGTATTTGCCTGAGCGCTTTGGAGGTGACAGAAGGTGGGGTCTGCGGTCCTCTACTGAAAGGTTCTGTTGGAGGGGTTCACACCCCTTTCCTTTTCCACCGTGTTACTTAAGGACTTGGGAAGAGAACCTTTACCAGACAACTAAACGTGCCTGCGTCTTCATTATGGACTTTCGTAGCTCCAAAAATGTGTAAGACCCCGTTGCTGTACTTTACGAATTGTTCAGTGTTGGGCATTTTATTACAGCAGCCCAAATAGAATCACAGTATGTGCCCCTTTGTAAACCGGCTTCTGTCATGTAGCACATGCTTTATGGTTCTTCCATGTGGTTTATAGGGTCTGGTGTAGCTCAGGCTAGCCTGAAACTTGGGATTCTCCTGCTTCCCCAGTGTTGACATCCCAGACCAACAGCTGGCTTCTTTGTTTTTGTGCCTTGAAAGCTTCTAAAACAAAAATGGCAGGCTGGGAGTTTAGTGAGTGGACAGCACTTGCCTGGCATGGGTAAGGTATAGGGTTCAATCCCTAGAAAGCCACTTCACCATAAATAACGACAGAAGCACAAACAGATACTAGCCAATTCAAATGAACAAATACTCTCCATCCCTTTCTCCTAACCCTTCAAATCAACAGTGTTAACAGTTTGGCCTTTTTCCTGGTCTTCTCTCTGGCTTTTTGATACCAGGTTGGATTTTGACCTGCAG